GAGCCCCAAATGGACCCTGGCGAAAACAGATCGTTCAGCCTTCCACGGCACATCTACCTTACAATATGGCGTGTATTGCGACTTTAACTAAGGAGTAGTTCTCTTCCAGTTCCTGCTGTCTAACTTCTTGCACTCTGACGTCTTTGTTTAAGCTATTGGTGTGATCGAAATACTGCGAAGAGGTTCCAAATCCAGATGAGAGGCGCGACCGCAGTAAGGCACCAAGACCTTAAGGCAACAAAGCAAAAACGCCGGAAACCGTGACATGTTACCAGCTAATTAGGTTAAATAAAACATATATATAGACCGATAATGGGCCCTCAGACTTAACACATGGGTTGCTCAGGGTGTGCTCAGGCTTTGCTCAGGGCTGCTCAGAGCTGCTCAGACGCTAATCAGGCGAGCTTACCCTTGGCTCAGATTAAAGCAGCAGCTGCTCAGGGCCAAAGACGGAAGTAGCATTTGATAAGGTCCAGTTTCGCGGCAGGCTATAGAGGTATGTACTTCGCTCGCCATCTACGGACTGTTGGGATTTCGTGACTGCGCCGCTTCGGCTTGACTTCTACAGGCCTGCTGGAGTACTCTTCCTGTCAAAACCAGATCGAGATTGGGATTGGCATCAAACAACAGACTATGGCCAATCTACGAGTACCGTTCCCCATGATGCAGGACTCTCCAGTTGTTTTGTGTGGGTTGTGAACACCATAGGCAATGAAATAATAGCATCGGGAAGCAACGTTGATACCAGCAAACGAGTCACAGGTTAGCATCGCCGAGACCGAAACTGATCAAAGCCATAGTGAGTCTATAACGTTACAACCTGTCTATATATGAAACAGTTCAACAGACCGAGTCGCTATGTAATCTGCCAGCGCGAGTTGATTTGTTTCCTCCGAACCTGCAAAATTAGAAGTCAGCGCGTGCCTATCACATTCCGGAAACGGATCTCCTTACCAACGGCGCAACAAACATCACCCCAACGAAAAGCGCGACTACAGTCGCAAGCATCTGCAATTTATTAAAATCCTTCCCCAGCACATCAAAGGAGAAGCTGGGTGTAACCCTCGTCCCGAACAAATCAAGGCCGTAGGCAAAAATTAAGCTCGTGCTCTCTAATAACGAAGGGCTCGTGATGAGCCCAACGATGCCGAAAACCTCCCGCTTGTGATTCAGATACCACTTGGGATCAAAGTCAACAACCGGTGAGTACCTGACCAACCCCTCAGTAACCTCTGCAGGGGTCGGGTCTCTGCCCACCGGACGGCGTGGATCGATGACATTCCGCGGTATGCCTACGATGGAGTTCGATTCTGGCAGAACGGCCAGGAGCTGCCGCGAGGTAATACCTTGCCGTGTCTGAGTAACGGACATCTTTGAGATCTCCTCCGAGATCTGGAATGTCTGGGATACAACATGTGGCTTGGCTACGTCCCCAGGCGCAGCCGCTGGCTGAAAGCTTGAGTAATTGGCGGCTGTATCTAGCGGCCCTCGGTCGTCGGGGATGGCGGACTCGTACAGCTCCGCAACTACTAGCTGGTGGCCTCGGGACAGTGAGCTCGAGGAGACGTCAAGCGTGTAGGAGTACGTGAACCAGTTCTCTGAGATGGCGGAAGTGATTTTGCGGGTTACGTCGACCCCGCTGTGGCTGGCGGTGTATAAGACATCGCCAGATGTCGAATCCAGCAGGTAGACTGACAGCGTGCTTGCAGTCCTGTGTACAGCGGTGACCAGGACAAGATTGGGATTGAGATACTTGTATAGTACTCGTCGGTCGCCTAGGACCTTGCCGATGGATGCCACGGGGTCATCAGCGGGCCGAGGCGTGATATCGAGGATGCTCTCGTCTGTCGCAGGCAGGAATCGCCATAGTGGAATGGGATTTTCCTGGCCGGGTGTATGCGCTCGTACCTCGCCCTCAGCTAAGGAGTACGACACGACTGCAGCGCCAGTAGAAGGGTGTCGAAAGGCTGAGTTGACGTGAGGATCTACAGGAAGCAGTTTTCCAGTAGCTGCGTCGATTAACAGACTTAATCCTCTCGCCTGATCATGAACGGCTATGGCTCCACCAGACGAGGTCCGCAGCTGCGGTGTCCACTTCTCCTCTGCAGTCAGAGGAACGGTGTCCATGCTCCAGAGGATCTTTCCTGAACCACCGGCATTGAGGGCGGCCATGCGGCCTTTCTCAGTGGCGACGACGATCAGCTTACGGAAGCCGAAGCTATCTTTCTGCAAACCATCTAGAGGCCTCCTCGTGCTGCCGCCGGAGAAGTTGGCAAGGATCCTGCTGGGAAGTTTCTGAAGCCACCCGGGGAGATATTGCAGGTCTCCAGCGTGTCTTTTCACCCTATGAATGTAAGCGGCTAGTATGTTTCCATGGCTCTCAATCTCCAGCTGGTCTGCCAGAGATTCCGTTTCGGGAAGCTCTGCCCAAATGGCAGCCGTAACGCCTGCGAGTGCCTCTGGGCGTGACCATGTCACTTCGCCGTTGCGGATGAGGGCCCATTCTCCGTTAGAGAACAGCACAGCCGACCTTACGGCTTGGGCAGAACCAGATCGAGAAACTACCTCCGAGACAGCCGAAACGGGATATGGCTGATCACTGAGATCGGGTACTGCCGTCGCCTTTAATGGCCAGCGTCCGAGGATGCCGTGCGAGACGGACGATACAACAGTGACCTCGTCGGCCGTGATTCTCGTGAAATAGACGTTTGCATCCACTGTACTTGTTGCGAAAGCTCCCTTGCCGGCCACTCTGGGAAGTGAGTAGGCTTTTGAGATCAACGAACGTTTCAGGTCGATGTGATACACATCGGCCCAGTGGCTTTGAGCTGTCTGAATCTGAACCAGAAAATGCGGCATTGAGTTAGTTGCAAGCGGGGCATGGAGGGAGATCGTATCGATCCCCACACCATCCTTGCCTTCGATATCTAGTGAAGCCACGCTCTTCGTGCCCACGATGTTGACCTTCAGTGCCCTGCTGAATTTGTCCGTCCACGCTAGGATTGGAGAGGCGGAATTGGCCCCAACGAACAGTATCGAATCTACAGATGACAGGTCACTCTCAGAGCTCAGGCTGTATTGGTCGGTTTTGTGTCCAGTCGACTGGTCCAGAGACACCACTTTGATCTTCAGTCCGCCGAGAAGAGTGGTGTGCAGGGAGACGTAGTGGATGCCGGCTCCTGAGGCTAGTACTTGAAGAGGTGCGTCTCCACTGGAGTGGTTGTGAGTTATACGTTACACGCAAAGGGCTATGAAGCAGCCGTACCTCTCATCCTCAAAGCTCCACTTGACTTGGCCAGTCTTCCCGTCTAGCCGGCTCACCACAGGGGTGCTAGCATTGAAGAGGACTAATACATCTTTCGGACCCGCAGATACCTCGCTGTCCTCAATCTCTATTATCTCCAGGTCCTGAACAGGTCCTGATAGAGACTCGGCACTCCAAACCAATCTTCCATCCGCAGCGCTCCATGCAGTAACATGACTACCCACAGCGGCCACCACTGTATCTTGCCCTTGGCCAGCCCTCAGCCAGCTCTTGATAGCGTCTGACGAAGCCAACGATTGCCGCCAGACTATGTGTCCGTCTTTTGGATTTACTGCGCCCAACACAAGCTTGTCCGAGAGCGTGTAGATGAGGGCGGCTTTCGAGCCTGCATACGGTTGCTGGAAAAAGCTGGTGTGCTGCTGGGGAAGGCCTAGCAGTGCGTGGTGGTAGTCGACGTGGTAGGCATCATCGGCGAAGACGGCGAGTGCTGAGGGGAGCAGCGATGCGAGGCTTAGCAGAGCATGGAGTCGCATGGTGCACTACTGCTGGCATCACACCACGTCCCTGCCGCGTCAAGCTCCGGCGTGTGGCACTGTTTGGATATGGCCAAGGAACCGCCGGGATGTCACTTTATCCGGCCGACTTCAAAGCTCATACCTTAAGCATAGAAAACCAACTCGCTACCACCGACTAAACACAACCAAACACAGTCTAAAAGTAGCTGACTAGAAGCTTCAAATAGTGATTGCCATGTCAATTAGCTGGGTAGTGACCTAGTTTTGGTTCGGAGAAACTCTGTGCTGGTAGTAAAGCGTGATGTTCGTGGTTGGAGTCGGCCCTTCTCTGGCCACGACGTGGGCAGGTTTTGACGACTTACTTATCTAAGGGACTCGCTGTCCTGTTGGGTGGTATCGTGGTATCGTGGTATCGTGGTATCGTGGTATGAGCAACAGTCCTCCTTCCAGTTCCGCTATGAAATCAAGCAGTCCCCGACGAAGGCCATCGCTCCCACCAGGGTCTGATCCTGCTTTCGTGTTCTGCCAAGGCAGCGTTGCAGGGCGTCATACCGGTTTTGGCGACCGAGACACGCTGGACTCGTCATGAACGCCGGCCTTTGTGCCCACGCCATGCACGCACATGCACGCACATGCACGCATCTGCTAGCACACGAGCCGATCACCGTTCTCGCGATGCCGATGCGACAGCTGGCCAGGTGCAGAGACGGGGGCCCGGCACAACGGGCATTGGTGCTCTGTTACCGTGGCGCTGGAGCGGGAGCGATTCCGGGCAGTTCCGGGGCAGTTCCACGAGGTGCGCCAAACAGCGGCACCTGCAGAGCCCTTTTGCGCGATGGAGGGGGGGAGCGGCTTGTCACTGGCTACTGGGGCCGAACGCGGGCAGGATGCGCTCTTTTGCGGCCAGTCATGAACAGCGAAGGGGCGGCCGTTGCATGCGCCTGCACCGCCTGCACCGCCTGCGTCTTTGATTGCAGAGATCAGCTGGCGACGGAAAGCCTCAGCTGCAGTGTGCTGGCTTCGCCCGAACGGCTCTCGCGACAAGCCAGATGGCAGATCCAGCAGGCTAAAAGCCCCATCTCCACATGCCCGATTTGCCCGGTTGCCTGCCTGCAGCTCCGCAAGCCGAACCTCGCCTTCCCACCTGCCAGAGCATTGATGTCAATTGCCAATTGTGAATTGTTCTGTTCAGCCCGGTGCGAGCGAGCGAGCGCAGACTGGCCAGCCTCCGAAGCTCCATAAGCTGGAGCGGCTGAGCTCAGGCGGAAAAGGCTTACGCTCCCTGCGAAACCTTCCAGGACGAACCCGGACGCGGTGAAGAAAAACACCACGGCGCTGACAAAAGCCTGCGACGCCACACGCCAACAGCGCAGAGCAACGGCGTTCGTGTGGTTGGTCGGCCGCTCAGATCGCGCCGCTTCAATCTCGAAAAGACCAATCTAATTGGAATAGCGGACCGACCTTTGCCATTGGTCAAGGTTTGAAAGTCCGTAAAGCTTGCGCAGCTCGGTCACCCGTGGCGCGCTCCGCAGTCCTGTGCGGTCTCTTCACCGCACGCGAAGATGAAGCAGAGGGCCGGTTCCTCGGACGCTTCTCTGCTCTCAAACACGCCGAGACATGTCACAGAGGGAGTATCACATTGTTGTTCTGGGATCAGGTGCGGAGCCGGCATTCCCACTTTCGCTTTGTTTGCCCGGTGCTAACGGCCTAGTAGGCGGGGTTGGCAAAAGCTGTCTCACCGGTACTGCGCAAGCTCCCTTCGGAAGAAGGATAGAAGCTGAAGCGTCACAGCGCAATTTGTGCAGAACGTGTGGATCGAGAGCTATGATCCGACAATCGAGGACTCGTACCGCAAGCTCATGGAGGTGGACGTCAGTGCCTCAATCTCCGCAGAGCTCGCAGCCCGCTGATCTGGACCATCCACAGGGCCGGCAGGTCGTCCTCGAGATATTGGACACTGCAGGCACAGAGCAATTCAGTCAGTGGCCTCCTTCACAGCCGACCGAACATAGTCTACTACCATTGCTGACGCTACAATAGCCGCCATGAGGTAGCCGTCCAGCACCCGCCCCCCCTCGCGCCTCACACACTGCTGATACCGCCCAGAGAGCTCTACATGAAGTCCGGCCAAGGCTTCCTCCTAGTCTTCAGCATAACCTCCATGTCCTCCCTCCACGAGCTCGCCGAGCTACGCGACCAGATCATCCGCATCAAAGACGACCCGCGGGTCCCCCTCGTCTTGGTAGGAAACAAGTCCGATCTAGAAGAAGATCGGGCAGTGTCGCGTGCGCGTGCCTTCGCCGTGTCGCAGGGTTGGGGAAGTCCATACTACGAGACGAGCGCCCGACGGAGGGCGAATGTGGATGAGGTGTTTAAGGATCTGTGCAGGCAGATTATTAGGAGAGATGTCGAGCTGTCGCGGGCGACGGACTCGGACCCGAGGGAGGGGAGGAGGAGGAGAGATACCCAGGACAGGAACAGGAGGAGGAGGAGCAATCGGTCGAGGGAGCATCGGTGTGTTATATTGTAGGCAGATGGGTTGAACAAGCGCGAGGCATGGTTCTTCCGTGCCGCGCACCCCAAAGGGCAGTGCCTTGATTCTCTTCTTGTCAATATCATCTGGCCGACTTGGCCTTCTGCGATAGATAGTAAATAGAGGAGTAACTTGCCGCTCAGGCGCGGGTCAGGTGTTTTTTGGAGTCATCGCTCACCGTCACTGCTGTGTTGGTGCACACACTCCTGCCTTCTCACCTAGTTCGCGTCCCTTTCTCTGACTCCAGCTTGATCTCTGTGAGACGGTACTTCCACTTGCTCGCTGGCGCGGCTTCTGGCGCGGTCTACTCTGCGCAGTATATCACACTAGGCATGTGTGACCGGGACATTGTGTCACCATGCGGCTTTGGATCATGCGGCTTCCCTTCCAGTCTCGCTGCTCTGCTTCATCGTTGAGATACCTGTCAGTAACTCAGTAACTCAGTAACTCAGTAACTCAGTAACTGGACGATCTTGTATCTGCCCACGAGCCTTTACACGCTTTCACATGCGACAAAGCTGCTTGCACAAGACCGAGCTACCCAGTCTGCGCTCGGAGCCATCGTCGTCGCCTTGACCTTTGAGAAGTTATTGCTACGCCCGGGCGGGTTGTGTTCCGACAAACTACGACACACGACTGCTGACACGCGAAGCTAAAGAACCCAACGACCCTTTCGATGCAGCTTTCGGGTTACGAGCATGCAAAAAGCATAACATCTGCCAATTCCGTTATTTTTATGGCACCAGCAAAAGCTCAAGTAGCACTGGCTTTCAGTCGTATCCCCAGGGTATACTCATCCACCTGCCCCCCCAACACCTAAACCTTCGCATCAAAAACTAGTGCAACCCCATCATCCCCAGCTGTAACGATCCACCGCCCTCCACCCTGCACAAACCCCTGCACCAAACCCCCCTCCCCACCCCCTCTATGTCCCCTCCACTCCCCCACGAGCCCCTTCGCCGCCGCCGCAGTCCCGCCCCTAGCATCCCACCGCCTCACCACCCCATCGCTCCCACAGCTCGTGAGCAACCACTCCCCGCCCGGCACGTCGCGCACGAACTCTACCTTCACGACCGCCTTCTCTTCCTCGTTCTCCTCCGCGTGCTCCTCGTTGGCCTCGGCGTGCGCCTCGGGAATGTGCCGCCGTACGGCAAAGCGATGCGCGGTGTCGAACAGCACGATACTGCCGTCCACACTCCCAGCCGCTAGGAGCGTAGACGGCGGCGCAGAAAAGGATAACGTAACAACATCATCCGTCTGCGCTTTTAGGCTCGCGAGGATCTGGCCTGCTTGTCCCGCACTCTGCTTCCCGCCTCCCGCCCCCGCTTTGGCGCGCGCACCTGCGGCCTTGACGCTGCCAGAGGATGATGATGATTCAGCGCCTATGCGTGGCAGTGAGATGATTCGAACATGTCCCTCTGCACCCCCGACAGCAGCGAAGGCCCCGTTCGGCGACACGGCTACGCTGTACAGGCCCCCCTCGACTTTGAACCGCTCGTCCTGCGCCGTTAAGCTGACGACGGCCTGGCTGCCCTGAGCGGGAGCTAGCCCCGCGGCCGCAGCCTCGCCCCACACGTCCCAGGCGTAGAAACTCGCGTCCTCAGAGACAGTGGCCAGGAGTCTCCCATCCGGGCTCCACGCCCCGGCGGTGCAGGCCTCGGTGTGTATATAATACGTCTGCACAATCGTGAGGGGGCTCGTCTTGTCAGCCGCATTGATGCTATACACCCAGACACTTCCATCTTTCGCGCCTAGCGCGATGGTGTTGGGGTGTCCAGGGTGCGGACACGCCGATATCCAGTTGATCTCCTCGACCTCTGCCGCGGAGGCGAGGGGGCGGTATTTCCGCCCACTGGGGTCGGTCTGCCAGACGCGCAAGGAGCCGTCTAGCCCGCCGGTGCAGAGGTATTGGCCTTTTGGGTGCGTGTAGGTGATAGATCCGATCGAGGCGGTGTGGCCGGTGAGTTTGTAGAGGGGTGGGAGGGAGGCGCGCTCCACGGGCTGTGGGTTGCTCTGATAGCTGGCGGGTAGCACGGGCGCCTCAGGGGGTGTGGCATCGAACACATAGCCAATTCCAATCTCATCCTCATTCTCGCCTTCGCCGCCCCCGGTGGCTATTATCTGAGGGTGGACGGGATGTTGGGCTATGCAGAAGATGGACTCTTTATGCGCGTCGAAGTGGGCGACGCTGTCGTTGTGAAGTTGGATTTCTTGGAGGGCCTCGTCGTCGTCGGAGTCCATGGGCGCGTCCTCGTCGGAGGCAATCTCCTCATCGGCTTCTGTGGGGTCGAGCATTGCATCTGAGTGGTCTGAGTCGGCATCGTTCATGTCGACGTTCTGGTGGGGCGCTTGGGCGGACATTGTGGTGCTTCTCGGGGGGGTGTGGCGGATGAGGAGGGAGGGTTGGAGATGGATTGAGTCGGGGAAGGCAGAGACGGGATCTAGAGGAGTTTTATATATATAGGTACTGGCGAGTGCTTCTGTGCACGGCGTTGACTGTCCCGCAGTGACTCGGTGCTGGCCGTGCTGGCTTAGAAATTGTTTCGAGGCGTGGCTCGAGCGTCTGCATGAGGGCCGCACGTCATCAGATCACCATCAGATCACCAACCCCCACCGCGATCACAGAACTACAGGCTACATCAATAACAATGCTCCCTTTAGTATCGCTGTAATGCTCTATAAGACGGTCTAAACAGCCTACTCAAGGCCTTTTATTTAACCGTTCACTTCTACGAGTTACTGTAGCTGCTGATCGTAGATTACTCTGTGGAGTTGACGGTGAGAGAGCGCTGCGTTGCCTTCGCGGTGAGACCATTTCCCCGCTTGACGTGGGCGGTAAAGAGCGACGGGACGTCTCTTATGGGCGGAAACGCTGTGCATGACAGTGGGATATCGCATTGAAGGCTGCTCGGATGTTCAAATTGACTGTTTCTGAAGAATACTTCGACTTGTACACTGTATAAAAACGCCAGACCTGAAACTGCATCGGTACAACAAATATCGACCGACATCTACGCACACAAGAAGCCCCGCAGAGCGATACTGAAAGCGCCCTACAACTTCGCTCCCTTAGCCCTCCTCACCTCTCTCTCCTTGTCTCTCAACAATCGCCTCAGAATCTTACCGCTAGGGCTCTTCGGAATGACATCGATAAACTCGACGCCGCCCTTAAGCCACTTGTGCCGCGCTTTGTGCTCCTCGACGTGCTTGGCAATCTCACGAGCAACCATGCGATCGCTTTCCTCAAGACCGACCGAGGTCGACTTGACAACGAAGGCCTTCGGTACCTCACCGGCTCGCTCGTCGGGTACCGGGATCACGGCGCAGTCGGCGACTGATGGGTGAGTTAGGAGATGCGCTTCTAGCTCTGCTGGAGCGACTTGGAGGCCCTGCGATAGAAGTCAGCGTTTTTGTCCACCGTGGAATAGCTACTGTGACACACCTTGACTTTAATCAATTCCTTAATGCGATCAACAATGAACACATGCTCATGGCCCGAAGGGGCCACCCTGATGACCGCCTCATCGCCAGTCCGCATCCAGCCGTCCTGGAACGTTTCCTTGTCCGCTTCCGGCTTATTCAAATACCCCATGACCACCGAGGGAGAGTTGACCACCAGCTCGCCCGGCTGATCATACCCCGTGATCTCGACGCCCTCAATCGACATGAGCTTCACCGTTATTCCAGGAAGGAGAGACCCAGACGAGCCGAACCAGATGTCCTGCCCGCTAGTGGAGCAGACGACCGTGCTGGTCTCCGTAAGCCCATAGCCCTGGCGGATCGACCAGTCGGGATACAGTTTCTGCAAATCATCCGCCGTTTCCTGCCCCAGCGGCGCCGCGCCGGTGAAGATGCCCTGCACGCTGCTGAGGTCGAACTGATCCATGACGTTCTTGTTCTTGGTCATCAAAATAATAATCGGCGGGACCAGGTAGAGCGTGTTGATCTTGTAGTTCTGGATCGCCTGGAGGAAGGACTTGAATTCGAATTTGGGCAGCACGACGACGCCGTCGCCGCGGTAGACGCTCGCGTGGCAGATCACAACGAGGCCGTAGATGTGACTCATGGGGAGGAGGCCGAGCGCGTTTTCGATATAGTCGGATTGGTTGCGAGGCTCGATTTTGGTGTCGCGGTAGGGTTTGTCGTAGGTACTGATTTGGAGGGTGTTGGCGATGACGTTGTAGTGAGAGATTTTTACACCTTTCTGATCGTATCAACCCATGTTAGCAGCCACGCTGGCGAACGCTCCATGCAAGGCGGGACCCGTGGGGGTCTCGTCCCGCGCTGCTCAGACGGGCTCGATACTTACTGGTAGCCCTGATGTTCCACTAGAATAGCACAGGAACGCGCACTGCGTCTTGCCCTGGCCCTGTTTCCAATTCAATGGCTCCAATCGCGGCTGCTTAGACCCTTCATCAATCAACTGCTGTACGGTCTTGTACTGCTTCGGCGCTTCCTGCCCGCCCGTCGCTACCTTTGGCATCTCGAGGATATACACCCGGTTCTCTGGCAGCCCAACCGCCCTCGCAGCCTGCAAAGATGCTTCGAGGAGGGGGAGGCATGTGAAGAGACATTTTGCGCCAGAGTCCCTAAGCTGGTATTGCAGTTCCTCGGCGGAATATGCGGCGTTCGCGGGCGTCTGGAGGCCACCGAGCCGGTGGGTGGCCCAAGCCAACGTCAGGGTGTCGATCTGCGCACTCAGTCAGCTTCCGATGGTTCTTGCGATAGCCAGGGAGGATCGCGCGCACCGTGTTGACGCTGAACACGCCGATGACCTTGTCCCACTCGGTCCGCTGGTTGGGCTGCCATCCCAACTCTTTCGCCAAGCCGCGGGCAAGGTGATCTATGCGCTCCTTGACTTCTAACGCTGAGTATGCCTTGCCCGTCAAGCCGCAGGTGAAGGGAGGTCGGGAGTAGCCGAGCGGATGTCGGTTGTAGTTCTCATCCCACATGAACTGGTCGATGGAGATGGAGTCCGGTATCTCTGGCAGCTTCGGCACCCATGATGGCGAGGTGAAAGGCATTGTTGATCAAGCGGCGGTCTATGTAGTTGTTGGAATTGGGCGACGGCGTTTTGATGCTGGAGAGCTGCAGGGGAGTGAGAGCGGAAGGTGCAGAGATTGAGAGAGGGATGCAGCGCGGGGATCGGGAGACGATCTGGATGCTTGAACTCGGTCCTCGGACCCGGTCCTCTGCTGTTTTGGAGGCAAGCTCTGGGGAAGCCAGCGATCGATTGGCCCCGTTCGTGCACCAAGCACCCCCAGATCTCGAGGGGCCAAGGCTGTGGAGTGCCCGCAACCTCGGCTGCGGAGGCGGCTCTGGAACGTTGCTAAACGCATCCATGCTTGGGAAACCACCGCACTCAATTGCTGATCCATTCTGACGAACTGTTCTCTTGATACTGGAAGAATCAGCAGAAACGCAGCATCCTTTTGTAGAATATATCCGGGGGTTACGAGTGTCAGCAGAGCTGTCGCCGGTCCACAATCTGGGGAACCCAGTGAAATCCGAGATATCTCCGTATCTTATACTACGGCTTCACCCCATCGCGCATCCATCACCTGGGCATGCCTCAACCAGCGCTCAGGATGAACAGCTTCCACGCCCTGCAGCGTTCGAGCAGCTCGTGATCATATTGCAGCGCGTGGAATCTATCAGCATCGCCCGTGACATGTTCATATCTGGGTACTGGTCAGCTACTATCATCAAGCTCTTAAGGCTGCCGTTTTACTTCGCTTCACCTCTTCTGATCTTTCGTCGCAAGCGACGCAGTTCATACCTTAGGTGGCCGTTCGTCGAAGCTTCTGCAATTGATAGGGCGTAGACGCTCCAACCTGTTCCTACGACTCCTCATTGGACAGAGCACTTCCAGGTTGCCTGGCCCTCATCCATCACCCGAGCGATACCCTTACCATTGATGATATCCGCAACCGTCTTGCATCCTTGGCCAGCATCTTAGACTGCCCCGTCGGCGCCGGACAAGGCTGACAGCTTGTGCGAATGTCTTCACCTGATCATGTTGAACAATCTCCACATTCAGACCCGGTCGTAGGTTCACATATCCACCTCTCATTCATCATTTAAAGTGATTAGGACTCATTCCGGAAGAGCTCATCTGGAACTCACCTGTTATCGTTGGAACACGCGACTCGACTAGCTCAATAAGAAGATCTGTTGTATTGTTCACTTTCTCTATTCACATTCATCTTTTGAGCATTGTTACACCTTCTCAAGCCCCCTCACATATACCTTCGCCGAGGGTTGGAACAACCGCCTATCAATCCGGAACATCACTTCCTTCCTAAACCCCACCAAAAACTCTCGCTTTCCGTCTTTGAACTCCTGACATTTCGGAGCGTCTACTTCCATCTCTCCTGCAACGTCAAGACTATCTGCGCCGGCGTCTTTGGGATACCTTCTGCCTCGGAGCAAGTAACAACCTAAGAGCGCAGAGATGCTGTCAAAGGAGCTTCTGCGTCTCGTTCCCATGGCCGACAGAGCCGAGTGGCAGCGGGCTTTGGCGACGGCAGACACTATCGAGGATGGACTGGCCGACATGAAGGCGGTGTCACGACCAAGAAGAGCCTCTGCGATTACCGGTTCTTTGTCCATCAAGACCCCTCTGGGCTCACAGACAACTGTCCGACCACCGCCAGTAGCTGGCTCCAAGCGGAAGCGTTCCTCGGTTGTTCTTTCTGCCGTGCCCAAGCTCACACACAGCGAGACGACTGCAACGACGCCCAGCCCACCGGGCTCTCCACTGAGCTCGATACCGTCCGATCTTAGTGACGTGGACGAAGACTCGCTACATTACGAGGGAGGAGCTGTTTCCACCGGACCAACACCTGCATCAAAGCGTGCCAAAATAGTACCTGAAGCCCTCAGCGAAGCAAAAGCTGTTGTTGTTCCGAGAGAAGCGTCAGCCTCGAATATCAGGCGTACTAACAAGGACAAGAGGGCGCTTACCGGCAAAGACAGACAAGTTAATGCTGCGAGCGCGAGCCGCAAACCAACGACAGTCTCGAAACCATCATCCCTCTCTTCGGTCGACCGTCTACAAACACGGAAGGCAACACAGCGGGACAGCGCTAAAGGCGGAAAGATAGCTGAGGGAAAGGCACCTGCATCCGCACCAACAAGCCGCCGAGGTAGCAAGTCCAACGTTGTTGTCTCGAAGTATTTCACGAAATCCGCCGTGGTCAAGCTCACGAAGAATCGAAGACCTGTGCGCCTCACTCATGAACCTGTTGTGTCTGGGGCCACCGACGCTGCAGTTGCAAATTCTACTGAGTCTGTGGCGCCTTGGCTTGCCGAATTGTCACAAAAGCTCTCGATTGCGCCATCTGGACAGCAGCTCCCAGACCCAGTAGGTCAGCCACTTGTATGGGCAGACCAGCGCCAGGCCTTGTGCGAGACTGTTCCTTACTACCGATCATTTCAAGGCGGATGTTATCATTCCAACCGCTCGGTCTATGCTTTCATGTTCGATGGGGAGAGCCACGCACGTGAATACATGGATTCGGATGTAGTCCTCTTGCGTGCTGGGGGCGGCATGGGCAAAGACAAGGACAGCGGCGAAAGAATTCAGAGCAAAGATCAGACAGAAAGCGCGCAGGTGGTGGCGTTGCGCAACAACATTAGCCAGTTCAACCCCGTTGTTCTGATAGTGGGCGAGAACAATCCGAAAGCTCCGTCCAAGGTCCCCCATCCATACTGCGTCATGGCTTGGTTCAAGCCGACGCACGTCTGGTACGAGAAGTCCAAGGGCAGGAAGCTCATTCGCTACCGCTTCGAGAAGCTCCGACCCGATGAGCAGAGCTGGTGGGCGCCGCAGGGCCAAGAGGAGCCTATCAAGTTTGGTAGTCTGCCGCCTCCTCACGGCGAGGCTTGTACAGCTTGCAGAATACACAGCCCACAAGTGTACATTCAAGGCTGGATGTGCTTGGAGCCGACATGCGCTCGGTTCTGGAAGCTGAAGAGTGGAGAGGAACCTGATGAGCCATCGCTAGTCTATAACCCCAGGTTCGTCAAGCAGAAGACCATTTGGCCGCACTCTAGCGCGCCGTATAGCCTCAAGCCGGACCTCATGCAGCTCGATGCAGCGCCTCTGCTCGGACAGAACGTTTCTTGGGAAGCATGGAAGGGCTTGGCTTGTCCACAGTGCGGCCGTTGCAGTTCCAGAGAAGCCTGGATAGAATGGCAGTGCGGAAATCCGGCCTGCAATTTTACACATCAGTTGCCCCACGTCCTGATCCCAGCGAAGGCCCTCCATGATATCTACCATCCGCTATCGTCAAGCTACGCTTTCTCTCGGGACCTACATGAGCCTGGCATAACCTTCCAGCTGGAGTTCGCTAACAACTACCGGCGCAACCGTTATGTGATTCCTGGTGTCGAAGGCTTCGTGGAGCACTGGATTGCGAACAAGACGGTGAATGAGGAGACCGGAGGCCCAGATGACATGTGGGAAGAGCTGCAGACCCAGGACATTGGCCTGCGGAGGCGGAGACTGGAAGGCGAGCAGAGCAAGTCCCCAAGAATGAACCCCTTTCTGTCTTCTACTAACTTTTGCATTAGTCAAGGGCGGTATGCTGACCATGCATTTCACTGTGAATTACGTAAGTTATTGACAACACTAGCATCTACTTGTATGCTCGTACTGACTTCTCTGCAGGGCATGCCCTACAAGTTCGTCGCCGCAACCTCCAGTCTCGGCTTCGACTCCGCCTGCAACGCCATCAAAGGCACCCGCTCCCGCCTGGACTGGGCCGCCCGCTGCGTCGCCGGAGACGCACACACCGAGTTCAACGAGCTACTTGCCCTCGGCTACTTCGAAAAGCAGAAGATCAACGTAAGAGATCACCACCTCAAAACTTATTACACCAGAGGACTAACACTATCCCAGTACCACGACGACGGCGAAAAAGGGCTCGGCCCAACGATCGCAACGCTTAGCCTCGGCTACCCAGCAACTATGCGCCTCCGCATGAAAGGCAAGCACTTGCGCGGCGCGTCCAAGATGGGCGTCTGGGTCGAGGACGAGCCTATGCCGGGCTGCGAGCGTTACGAAGAGCGAAAAGCTGCGTGGCAGGAACTTCAGAATATGGACAAGAAGGCCGCAGCAGCGCGGAAGAAGACTCTGCCCACGGAGCTGAAGCTAAGGAAGACTGGTGATGCGCCTGTTGTTATCCAGATGCATCTGGGACATGGCGATATTGTTATTATGCATGGGGCGAAGATACAGAAGTACTATGAAGTATGTGATCTGCTGCGAGAATAAGCAGGGGCGGTTGGCTGATCGTTGAGCGTAGCACGCCGTTGAGCCCCACGGAAATTTGCGATTTGCACTGACGTGCAGGTACATCGACCCGGATTCTTTGGCCGAAGCGGATAAGCCGCAGTATGAAGTGCGGCTAGATGACCAGATTTATGATGGCAGCTCTTTGCCGCTGCCGCCACAGTGAGCGGCTGGCTAGATTACTTGCTACTTTTGGAAACGGATACGAATTGATGGTTTATTGGGCTACTTCGGGAATGACATGCAGCGGCATACTGGTTTAATCTTAATCTTAATTGATACGCGCCTGGTAGCTGGGACTTTGCTTGTCGAGTTCATCAACTTTCATACTTGGTTCTTTTTTCATATTGTTTGCAAGCAGGCGGCGGCGAGGTTAGAAGTGGACATTGCGAGACTCTTTCGTCCAGGGATAACGCCAGGGCCAAATCTTCTCTCCATCGTTTCCGCCTAGCACCCTGAAACCGATATTCCCGATGCGGCGCCGCAGCCGCCATAAGTCTCACCCCTCGTGCGCGATTGTCTCACGCCGGCCTCCAAGTCGGCCGTCATTTCGCCCCTCAGCAGTGCCAATATCTCCATCCCCTTGCCTTCGAAAGATGTCCGACATCACATGCCACCAACCCAGCACACTTATTGCGCATACTCCTTGTTAAAAGCCCTCCCAATAACAATCCTCCTAACCTCGCTCGTTCCCGCCCCAATCTCATACAACTTTGCATCCCTGAGCAGCCGGCCAGCGCTGACCTCGTTAACATAACCCATACCGCCCATCAGCTGGATGGCATCGAGGCCGCATTCGGTGGCGCGCTCGGCAGCGTAGAGGATCGCGCCCGCGCAGTCTTGCGTGCGGATTGTCGCGGTGTTGTCGACGGCGGCGGCGGTGGCATAGGTGAGGGCGCGCTGGGAGGGGGGTTAGGGTGGTTGGGCGTGGGGTTGGAAGGGGGAAGGGGGTTGGCAGGGGGTTCAGAGGAAAGGGGGGCTTACAGAGGCGGCGAGTTTAGTGTACATGTCTGCGAGCTTGGCTTGCACGAGCTGGTTGTGTGCTAAGGGGATGCCGAACTGGGTGCGGGTGTGGGTGTAAGGAAGAACTAGATCAAGGGCCGCCTGCATGATCCTGCACGCTGCTGTTAGCGGACTCCGAGATTATCGACGGAGAGTACTAGAAAGGCGCACCCAAGCGGTCCGGCGCTCAATACCAAGCGTTCCAGATCCAGCCCTTCCATGAGCACTTTGACTCCCCTATTGACTTCACCAACAATATCCTCTTTCGGCACGAAGACGTCCTCGAAGACAAGCTCGCCGGTGTTTGAACCCCGCATGCCCAATTTATCAAGCTTCTTCGTTACCGAGAAGCCCTTCGCGCTTGTGTCCACAATGAATGCTGTGATGCCCTTGCTGCCGGCATCCGGTGCTGTCTTCGCGTATACGATGACATGGTGCGCGTCCGGACCGTTGGTGATCCACATCTTCGTGCCATTGAGGATGTAGCCGCCGTCCGCCTCTTTGGCTGTCGTCTTCATGCTAACAACGTCGGAGCCGGCAGAGTGTTCTGACATTGCTAGTGCGCCGACCTTCTCACCCGATATCAAGCCCGGGAGGTACTTTTGCTTCTGGACCTCGGAGCCGTTGAGCATGAGCTGGTTTATGCAGAGCTGGCTGTGGGCGGCGTAGGAGAGCCCGATGCTGCCTGCTGACGAGTCAGTATCTGTCCTTCAAGGCAGTACACCGTCCTACGGGCAGGGCTGTCTCACCTGATGCTCTACTTATCTCCTCCATAACCACACAGTGCGCCTGATAACCCATTGCCAGGCCGCCGTAGTCTTCGTCTGCCGTTATGCCTAGGAAACCAGCCTCGCCCATCTTCTTCCACATATCCATGGGGAACTCATTGCTGTGATCCGTTTTCTGTGCCACCTCTTCGGGTATCTCCCTTCTCGTGAACTCTTGTACCCGTTCCCGCAGCTCGTCCAGGTCTTCCTTTGCTGGCGGCGCAAAGCCCTTGGGATGCTTCGATGAGGCTGCTCTTCGCTGGAATATTGGCGCCAACACCGCTTGCCGCCTGCCGACCTGCCGGGCACAGCGTAACAGCAGTCTGGGAGCAATTACTGCAGCCATTGCGTGTAGAGGATATGTTTTTCTTTCTGCATTCGGATGGAAGGCACGCCTTCTTGAGCTTCCCCACCGGGGTCGTTTGGGGGGGGGGGGGTCCTCGCAAAACACTTGACCCGACGGTAGCCGGGCAGACCCTGGCAAAACAAGCCTCGGCTCTGCCTGTGCCAAACATCACTGGCAGGCCCAATATCAGGTCTCGTATATATATTGTAAACCGTCAGACCGTATATACCGCCTGCCCGCCAGAGTCAGCCCTGACTTTGCTCGCCGTCAATGGCTTTAGCAGCACCCTCTCGCGAGCTGCTCGCTCTATTTCGCCGCTCTCTGCGTACAACGACCCTCTCGCGCCAGCCGTATCGAAGCCGACAATGCCGCAGAGCAATAGCAACCTACGCCCACTCCCACCATGCGTCCCAGGTCTCCATTCTTCCGACCGCCGTCGACACCTCGAGCGCGGATTACAAGGAGAACAAGCGCTCCATGGACGATGTCGTCTCCCGCATCTCCGCCTTACACGCCCGCATCGCGCAGGGCGGGCCCCCCAAATCCCGCGAAAAGCACGTCTCGCGCGGTAAAATGCTTGTGCGTGACCGCATCGCCGCCTTGATCGACCCGGGCACCTCGTTCCTCGAGCTGTCGAGCCTCGCGGGCTTCGAAGTCTACCCGGGAGAGGACGTCCCAGCCGGCGGCATCGTCACAGGCATCGGCACCGTCTCAGGCGTAACCTGCATGATCGTTGCCAACGACAGCACCGTCAAGGGTGGAACGTACTACCCCGTCACTGTGAAGAAGCATCTCAGGGCGCAGGAGATAGCCCAGCAGAACCGACTGCCGTGCATTTACCTCGTGGACAGCGGGGGCGCAAACCTGCCGCACCAGGCGGACGTCTTCCCGGATCGCGACCACTTCGGTCGTATATTCTACAACCAGGCGAGGATGTCGGGCATGGGGATCCCGCAGCTGAGCGTAGTCATGGGGCCGTGTACAGCTGGCGGGGCATACGTGCCCAGCATGTCCGACGAAAGCATCATCGTTGAGAACCAGGGCCACATCTTCCTCGCCGGTCCTCCCCTTGTCAAAGCCGCCACCGGCGAAGTCGTGTCGGCTGAAGAGCTGGGCGGCGGCCGCCTCCACAGCGAGGTCAGCGGCGTGACGGACTACCTCGCCGTCGACGACGCCCACGCCCTCGTGCTAGCCCGTCGCAGCATCTCGAATCTAAACTGGCCGCAAGCTCAAAGCAGCACCGTCATGAAGACGTGGGAGGAGCCCCTGCACGACCCGGAAGAACTCCACGGCATCGTCGGCACGAATCTGCGCCGCCAAATCCCCATCCACGAAGTCATATCGCGCATCGTCGACGGCTCCGTCTTCGCCGAGTTCAAGGCCACCTACGGCTCCACTCTCGTCACGGGCTTCGCGCACATCTACGGTCACCCCGTCGGCATTGTCGCCAACAACGGCATCCTTTTCTCCGAGTCGTCGCTTAAGGGCGCGCACTTTATACAGCTGTGCGCCAAGCGCGGCATCCCGCTTGTCTTCCTGCAGAACATCAGCGGCTTCATGGTCGGCAAGGACGCGGAGGCGGGCGGGATCGCGAAGAACGGCGCTAAGTTGGTCACTGCTGTTGCGTGTGCGGAGGTGCCCAAGTTTACTGTGGTTGTGGGCTCGAGTGCAGGGGCGGGGAATTATGGGATGTGGTAAGTCGCTGTTCCTGGTCCAAGTTGTCCCTCCTTGATGGGCTCTATCGCCTTGCTCGCAGTAACGCAAGATACTGCTAAACGGCGGCCATGACTAACTGGTACCGACAGTGGCCGCGCCTACTCACCCAACTTCCTCTTCCTCTGGCCGACGGCGAAAACGTCCGTCATGGGCCCGGAGCAGCTCTCCTCGGTCATGGAAGCCGTGGGCAAGACCGTCGATCCGGAGCTGAAGGCAAGGATAGAGCGGGAGAGCGAGGCGACCTTCTCGAGCGCGAGGTTGTGGGACGACGGCGTCGTTCCGCCCAGTCACACGAGGAAAGTGCTGGGCATGGGGCTGATGGCGGCTTGTGGAGGAAGTGTGGTGAGGAAGGAAACGAACTGGGGTGTATTCAGGATGTAGGAGGCTAGGGGATGAGGGGTGGAGTTTCGAACCGATAGTGGTGGCGCTTGCTGTGGCATGTTTTACAAAGGGCAAAAAAAAGGTGTGGAGAGTTTCGCCGCCTAGACGAGTAGGCTCAGCTAGCCTGAAGAAGGTGCAGGACACTCCGACAAGAAAGACGGCGTGGATTTTCAATGCTCAGATGGCGTAAGCGCCTTGGTGGTGGACTCTACGAGGGTAGATGGGGAATGGAAGGAGCAAAAGCAAACGAAAAGGTAGCGCGAGTAAAGGAAAGTCTTGGAGAACATGAGAACAGCTTTCCGCATGCCTACCTAGGTATATATATATCCTGGCGTTCTCATGATCAGGCAAGATGGTAGTATTGAGAGGCAGAAGGTGCAACGGTCGTTGCCGGCGCACGTGACGGTCTTAGCCGGATGAACATCGTCACTTTCCTTTGGCCGTCGTTCACGATACCGCCGCGCCTCACCACCTCACCACCTCTTGATACCCTCTGTTAGGCTCTAAATCCCCCGCCACACTCGAAGGGAGCCGTACATTGCAGGAAGATGGAGTCCGACCTCACTCCCAAGTTCGCGCCGTTCTTCGGCATGGTAATGTCCAATACCCTCCCTATCCACTACGTCCGCTAACCAGCTTCGTTAGGGTGGCATAGCATTCGCAGTAAGCTCTCGCATCGTCCACATACCCTCCTGACAGCCTGCTCACCCCCAGCGCCGCAGATGATCTTCGGCTGTACGTCCTATTTCCCCCCCGAACACCGCCCTTCCCTCGCCTCCGCATCCCCCTCGCCGCACCCTCCCCCCTTCCGCACCTTCACCTCCATCCATTGCTAATAACTCCACGACACAGGCATAGGCGCCGCCTACGGCACCGCCAAATCCGGCATCGGCATCTCCGGCGTCGGCACCTTCCGCCCCGACCTAATCATGAAGTCGCTGATCCCAGTCGTCATGTCTGGAATCATAGCGGTCTACGCGCTTGTCATCGCGGTGTTGATCGCTGGAGATATGAATCCGCCGCCGCAGCAGCATTATAGCTTGTTCAATGGGTTCATGCACTTGGCTTGTGGGTTGAGCGTTGGCTTGACGGGGCTCGCGGCGGGGTATGCTATCGGTGTTGTGGGAGATCAGGTATGTGGCTATGAGCATGGAAGGTCGCTAGGAGAAGAAACGCTGACCGATCGCTGATAGGGCGTGAGGAGTTATATGCAGCAGTCAAGGATATTCGTGGGCATGGTTCTGATTCTGATCTTTGGGGAAGTGCTGGGACTTTATGGGTACGTATTCTTGGTCGCGCTGTCATCTGTGTGAGACCGTGGTTCTGACGAGATGACAGGCTTATAGTGGGACTTATTTTGAACACGCATAGCAGAGGTTGAGGAGGAGCGTGGCCTGCTGTGTTGATACTAGGGAATGGATGAAGAATAAACCTTCAAGTCTGTACCGTCTCGTCGCGCACTATGAGCAACGGATCGAAGTTGCCGCTCTGCTATCAGCTGACAAGCAGTTCGAAGACAACGCTGATACTTGGTGGAAGTTGGGCGAGAGGTTGGGTCAAAAGTTTCGGGAGTTATCTCATACCCTGTTCGATTAGACCACTGCTCCCGTACCATTACATTCAAAATTAAAGGGGGTCCATGTTGCTCGTGTGAATACTGGCCATATCACAGACGCCGTTCGGGGAAGATCATTGTGCAAGCCGGGCAGTTCCGTACATGGCTTGTCTACGCTTAACATGCATAAAACCAATAAACATCTCATAGACGCTTCGGATATCCCTGACCATCTACTATTCCTGTGCCAGAGCACAAATATCTAAAGGTATATAGCCGGCAAATCCCTGCACGCTTGAACCATACACTTGATTCATACAAACCATATCGTCGCCCATATTCAGGATTCCATAAATTCCAAAACACCCGCTACGCGATAAACATGTCACCCAATGCGTTTCACCATCGTACCCATACCCCACAGCCCTCCGCACACAGCCCTCCGCACACTTTGAACCGATGCAAATCTTCCCAGCCACACCTAAAAGTCCTCAAACTCCTTTTCCCACTTATCCCGCAACTCCTTAGTATAAGGGCTCCTCTCCGCCGGCTCGTCCTCATACTCATCGAAATTCCTCGTATCTGCCGGTCCTCTCAGATGCGGCACGATAGGACCCTTCACGCGCCGATAGTAAATGTCATCCCAGTTGATGTTCTTGAACCACTCGTGAGACTTGACACGGGCAGCGCCGCCGGAGATGTTGCCGAGGCGCTTGGAAATGTCCACAGTGCACAACCCGGAGATGATAGAGCGAGCGGCGGGTGTCATGGCGGGAGGGAAGCGGAGGTGGCCTTCAACAATTCTATGTGTCCACAAACTGGTTAACAAGAGCAACAGTTCGGGAAAGGGTACAGACTGCCGGCTGCAGAAGGGATAATCCGCGAAGGAGACAGGGCATGGGATACGCACTGCTCGTAAATTTTCATCGGGTTTTGGTCCCAGAAGGGAGGTTGGCCGACGAGAAATTCATACACGAGGATGCCGAATGCCCACCAATCGACGGCACAGCCGTGACCTGGATAGTGAAGACGGTCAATGAGTGCTCTGCGAGCCAGCCAGGCAAAGAGGTGAGCATTGGCCTACCGGTATTCCGGATCACTTCAGGCGCGAGGTACTCTGGTGTTCCGCAAAGCGTATACGTCTCTCCTGCACAGCATTGTAAGCCCTGAGGTCCCGCTCGATCATTACCCCAACCTAAGGGTTCACCGTTGCCATCCCCTTAGGCCTTCCTGACTTCACGAGCCATTCCCGGAAGGGATAACCCACTATCATCAACCTTCTTCGCGAAACCAAAATCTACCAACTTCAGATGGCCTTCGGCATCTATCAGAATGTTCTCTGGTTTCAGGTCTCTATAGGCTATTCCTTCCGACTCGTGTAGAAACTCAATGATAAGACATATCTCCGCGGCATAAAACTGTGAGGTCGGTTCGTTGAAGCGGCGAGCGCGGCGAAGGTACGAGAACACTTCGCCGCCGGGGCAGTAATCAAGCTACAGGCCCGGCGAGTCAGTTTCAATTCGTCGAGCAGCGCTGTTCGCAAGATCGAAGACAATGGAGACGGCGTCAGGCTTTGCCCATAGGAGACATACAAGCATGTACAGTGTATCATGATCTTGGAAGCTGGCAACCATGGTGGTTATGAAAGGGTGACCGGCCACCACGGCGAGTATATTCCGTTCGTTGCGAACGTGTTCAACCTGCTTGAGACGGATTACTGCAGCGGTCCGATGTCAGACAAGACCCGATGCGCTGGTGGCGCAGCAGACACCCACCGTCAACCTTCCGCAAGATCTTCAGCGCGAACACCTTGTCTTCGTCGCCCTCCTTGGGATTCGCCAGCCGTGCCAGCCAGACGCGCGCAAATGTTCCTGGTGACAGAGTCTCAGTGATCCTTCTGGAACATGTGGTGTGTGGCCGTAACGGCCGTACCAGTCCCCAGAGTCTTCAGCAGTTCGAAGTCCTGACATCGCAGGTGCTTGCTCGAGTGTCCAACAGGCTTCTTGCTCGGGTCAATGGTTATCTGCGATGGGCTCAACGGCCTCTTCTGGTCCTCCCAGTGCGCGATTGCATGCTTCTCGCTCTCGCGGCGCTTCACCGTAGACGGGTTCTCATTCTTCGTCTCCGAGTAGTTCTGCTGCGGTGGGGACGCGTCGTTGTTCTGGTCTTCGTGGTGCCCGTTGCGAAGGCTTTTTGGGAGGATGTGATGCATCGCGGCGGTTGTCGCGGAGTGCCCTGGCGGGGAGGAGGGCTATACCGGTGAATCGTTGGACGTGACCATTCGCGAGGTCAGCGGGAACGTGGCCAACCCATGCATGCGGAACTAACTTCAAAAGCCAGCAGGATGTGGCGTCGAAGCGTTGCGAGTTAGTGGTGAACGGGTCCGTAGTTAGGAGTATGTAGGAAGCAAAACAACGGGCAAGCACGGTGACGCGCTGGCTGAATGGGCGACCAGGGTTTCGGTCAACCCCTCGGCTCATCCGAACAGGGTCTCACGGGTCTTCGGTCTTCGGTACCTAGGTAGTTAGTTATTGGGTACAATATATTGCTTATCTACACAGCCCGGCTGACCCGTGACTGGCCGATATATGGTGGGGTCCAAGGTACCTAGGTAAGGTTGTAACGTTATGGGGTCAGTGGGGGTCAAGCGCTGCCGAAGCGGGGCTATCTCGATGTGCACCTATGCAGAGAGAACCCCGTGATACTGTAATTGCTTGCTTGCTATAGCCCAATTCATCTCTTTACGCCCAAGAATCTTGCCTTACTTACCCTCTGGACTGACAGCAGCTCCCGCAAGCCGTCATGTGATACCACCCCTCCCTATTATCCTCCTCCGAAACCTTCTGACCTCCCGTGCAGGCCCTATACAACCTCCACAGCCTTCTTCGAGGCAATCTGGGAAGCGGGCATAACCCACTGCTTTGTCAACCTAGGCTCAGACCACCCCTCAATCCTCGAAGCAATAGTCCAAGGCCAGAACACGAAACCCGAATCCTTCCCCAAGATAATAACATGCCCGAACGAGATGGTCGCGCTGTCCATGGCGGACGGCTACGCCCGACTCACCGGCAAGCCGCAGTGCGTGATCGTCCATGTGGATGTAGGCACGCAGGGATTGGCAGCTGCGGTGCACAATGCCAGCTGTGGCCGGGCGCCGGTCTTGATATTTGCGGGACTGAGTCCGTATACGATTGAAGGGGAGATGAGGGGGAGCAGGACGGAGTATATTCACTGGATACAGGATGTCCCGGATCAGAAGCAGATCGTGGCACAGTACTGTCGGTATGCTCAGGAGATAAAGACGGGGAAGAACATCAAGGTCGGTCGGGGACCTGATCTTGCAAACGTGACTAGGGTTTGTGAAAGTTGAAGTATGACTGATGCGGACTGTACCTGCAGCAAATGGTCAACCGCGCACTCTCGTTCGCGACCTCTGAGCCTAAAGGCCCCGTCTATCTCGTTGGTGCCCGCGAAGTCATGGAGGAAGAGCTGGAGCCGTATTACCTGGACCAGTCATTCTGGCTCCCGGTCGAGCCGCCAGCCCTGCCACCCTCTGGTGTCAAAACCATCGCCGAAGCTCTCATTGCCGCGCAAGAACCTCTAGTAATCACCGGCTATAGTGGGCGAAACCACCGCGCCGTATCTGAACTCGTCGCCCTCGCCAACACCGTCCCTGGCCTCCGTGTCCTCGACACGGGCGGCAGCGATATGTGCTTCCCAGCCAATCACCCAGCCTGGCTGGGCCTCCGGTATGGTATTGAAGACAGCATCAAAACAGCGGGTGTGATTCTGGTCCTTGATTGTGATGTCCCCTGGGTTAATACTCTGTGCCATCCTAAGAAGGACGCGAAGATATACCACATCGACGCCGATCCGCTAAAGCAGCAAATGCCAGTCTTCTATATCAATGCACTTCGGCGATACAAAGCAGACAGCGAGACCGCGCTAATCCAGCTCCGCGAGTACATCTCCTCCAACCATGGCGCGGAGGTACGGAAGCTCAAGGAGCAGAGATGGGACAAATTGGCACAAAGCCACCAGCGACGAGTGCAAACCATCAAGGATCAGGCCGCGCCGGACAAAGACGGTCATTTCGGCCCCAGCTATCTGATCAGCGAAGTCCGCAACGCGTGTCCCAATGACACGATCTGGGCCATCGAGGCCGTTACCTGCACCGCATTTGTCGCGGATCAGATTCAGGCCACGATTCCAGGTAGCTGGATAAATTGCGGTGGTGGCGGGTTGGGGTGGAGCGGTGGTGGTGTAAATCTCCTCTCCCTTCATCTTTCCCCCAACATTATCTCCGCATAATCTGACGTACAATAGGCCCTGGGGATCAAGCTTGCTGCCGGAGAAGGCAAATTCATTACCCAGATCGTCGGCGACGGCACATACCTCTTCTCCGTCCCCTCCACCGTCTACTGGATCTCCCAACGCTACAACCTTCCCATACTGACTATCGTGCTCAACAACAACGGCTGGAACGCTCCACGGCGATCCCTGCTCCTCGTGCATCCCGACGGCGAGGGCAGCAAGGTAAGCAATGAACAGCTGAATATCAGTTTTGCGCCTAGCCCAGACTATGCGGGGATTGCGAAGGCAGCGAGCGGGGGGCGGTGTTGGGCGGGGACGGCGGGAACAGTGAGTGAGTTGGGGAAGGCATTGGGGGAGGCGGTGGAGGTGGTGAAGGGGGGGCGGAGTGCGGTGTTGGATTGTTGGGTGCTGGGCGCGCAAGGGGGTTTTGGTGGGGGGAAGGCTGTTACAGTGGGATGAGCGAGGGCGAAGGACGGTGACCGAGATAGATAAGCTTGGAGGAAGACGAGAGATGAGAGGCTAGCTCTAGTAGGTAGTAGGAATGCGTTGTGTATATATATTCTATTAGATTAGGTCTTCTATTTCGGAATTACCGGTTTACGTAATCGCTTCATAGAACGTCACGGTAGTATTTTTACTATATTTATATATTTATTAGTAAATCTCTTTCTTATATCCGGGCACTTGCAAGCAATTATATATTCTAAGCGAGTATACTCGCGTGTAAGTACCTTACAAGCTACTTATAAGTATTTCTAAGATAGAATAGATTCTATAAATACTTTAAGTATTTTAAGTACTAAGAGCTACTTACTAAGCTTCTTACTAATTAACTCGCTAAGTAGCTTGCTAAGTAGCTATTTAAAAAGTAAAAAGACTCTAAATTACTATAATATAGAAAAGCTTAATTATTGCAAGCTAAGGCTTTACTTACTTAACTATATATACTAGCTTAAAAAGATCTAGTATTAAGTTCTACTCGATAAAAGAATAAGGTATTATATAAGCTTGAATATATATACTATATATCTTATATTAATACTGATATTATAATATAGAAAAGCTTAATATAGAAACTTAATTAATTAGATATATAAGTAAAAAGCTTTATTATCTTTTAAATCTTAGAGATACTAAGTCTATATTTATCTTAAGAGCTACTAATAAGAAAGCCTATATTATACTTAGCTGAATTAAGTTTCTTAGACTTATTAAGTTTATTAGAATACTTAGAATACTTAGAACTACTAAGCTATATTAGGAAAAAAAATTCGGCGCTTAGAGCTACTTAGAGCGCTTAGAGCCCACTTTAAGTACTTAAAGCCTTTAAGTAATTCTACCTACTCGCGAGCTACTTATAAGCGGCTTAAAGTATACTAAAATACTCTAAGCACTTAGAATAAATCTTAGCGCTAAGCTTACTTAGTTATTACTAAAAAAAAATTTAAAAGTAGCTTTAAGTCTAATTTAACTAGTAGAATAGAGGGAATATATAATAGAGCTAGTTTAAGGGGTAAGCTTTTAATAAAAATAATTATTATCCGCTTAACTTTTCAAAACATGGATATATAACCTATTTTTATAGGGGGGTAAAAGCTAAGTAAAAAAGGGAACTCTAAGATTTTTTATATAATTTATATATTTTATACTTACTAAGTAATTTATACCCACCCTAATTAATTAGAGCGCTTAGAGCGCTTAAAGCAAGCTTAGAGCGCCTTAGACGTCTTAGACTAATACGAATTTTATAAGCGCCTAAATTTTTTCTAATAAACTCTAAAGATTCTACTTACTAAGTAGCTTAGTAGCTTAGATAGTTTAAGTAGTTTAGTAGATTAGTAGCTCTAAGTATTTTAAGTATTCTAAGTTTTCTAACAAGTATATAAAGCTTAAGTAAGCTAAGTATCTAAAGCTAGAGCTAATAAATTAGATTTAGCTATATATAGCTTAGAAGTAAATCTAATTTAGCTATATATAGCTTAGAGCTAGATCTAATAGACTATATTTACTAGTATCTAGCTTAAAGATAAATCTAAAAGCTTAGAAATAGATCTAATGTATTAAATTTAGCTATATATAGCTTAGGGCTAGTTAAGCTATAAAATAGCACACTAATATAGTATATACAATACTATATAAGATCTAGATGATTTAGTAAGCTTAATTAAAGAAAGATTCTTTATATATAATATATAATCTCATAGTAGGAGAAAATTTAAATACTAAAAGATAATAAGTTAAAATAATTATAGTAGCTTTTCTTTAAGTACTATGTTTCTATAAAGTATCTAAGTGTAGATAATTTTTAGAGCTTATATTCTTCTTTAATTCTATAGAAGATATATAGTATATTAGATAAAAGATTTTAGCGCTTAAAGCTACTTAGAGCGTTTAGAGGTTACTCTAAGTACTTAAAGCCTTTAAGTAACTATATTTACATACAAGTAGCTTGCAAGTAGATTCTAAGTACTCTAAATATCTAAAATATCTAAAACATCTAAGATTTCTAAAAGTATTAGCTTAGTAGGGCTTGATAGAGCTTAGTAGAGCTTAGTATAGCTAGTAACTAAAAAAAACTACTAAAAAAGCTTTAAGACTAATACAAGTAGTAGAATAGAGAAAATATATGATAGAACTAGCTTAGAGAATAAACTTCTAGTAAAAATAATTTTTATTCGTTTACTCTTTAGATTTATTAATGTTTTAGCTCTTTCTACTAGAAGATAAGAGTTAAGTAAGATTAGAAACTCTAAAGAACTTTAATATACTAAGTAATACTAACTAATTTAGGCGTTCTATATATTTTAGATAATTTAGATACTCTTGATATCTAGAGCGCTTTAAGTGTGCTCTAAGTATTTTAGTAATTACTCTAAGCGTACTTTAAGTGCCTTAGATATTCTAGACTAAAACTAATTTTATAATTATCTGAATTTTTTCTAATAGTAGTTAGCGGTTAGTAATTAGCGGTTAGTATTTTTCTAGCTAAGCTATAGCACTAGCTATAGCTGTAATATAGATTAATAAGATAGAATCTACTAGAAAGTAGTAGAATCTAGAGAATCTAGATATATATATATAGTAGTTTCCTACCTTAAATAGTAATAAAGCTCTTTAATTAATATATTCTAATAGATCATAAGCCTAAACTAGCTAGGCTAATCGATCTTTACTATTATCTTATACTGTCTTATTTATACAAGAGCTTTCCATTATAAATAGGGGCTAGCGGACTAGTTGCATGCTAGGTAGTATAGACTAATATATTATACACTCTATAAATCTTAGTATACTATATCTAATCTATAGTAGAGCACGCTAAGATAAATAGAGTAAGTAAAATAAATAAAGTAAAATATAGAGGAATCTACTCTAGGCTATAGTATATAGGTAGGCGATTTTATACAATATTATAGCTTAGTATTATACTTAATTTAAAATAAGAACTTACTATTTTAATATTATACTCAACTAATTACTATATAATATTAATTAAACTTTATTATATCTTATACTATCCTCTAATTCCTTAATTAGAATTACTACTTTATTGTACCACCCTGTTATACTTCCTTAGTTAGCAAGCTAATATACTATCCAAATAAATAAACTCTAAACTACCTTACTAAACCGCTTAGATAAAGGATGAAGAAATAGGGTTAATAAAAGCTAGAGATAATAGTAATATTACTAAATAAGCCTTACTTTTAGATGTATTTTCCAAGTAGAAACTTAGCTTTTACTTATTTTCTTGAAGGAAAACAAGAACTAGTAAAGCTTTACCATTTTCTCTAGAGTAAAATATAGTAAAATTTGCTATTATATAATAGTAATTTTAAGCTTTTTTATAAACCTTACTCTTATATTAGGATTTTTATCAAATTAGCCTAGTTTTTTAGAATGAAACTAGTTTCTTAACTATCTTTACTTTGCGATTAAAATAATATTATTAAATTCTTTATATTAGAGCCTCTAAAACTATTCTAAACTAAGCTTAAAGAGATAGAAAATTACGAAGCCTAGTTAACTAAAATAAGTATTTTTCTTGTCTACTAAAGGCTTTAGAACTTATTTAGCGGCGCTAGATCTAAATTAGAAGATAGTCTACTTAATATTACTTAAATAAAGAAATTATATATATCTTACTACTCTTTGGCCTAAAAGATAGCCTACGAAAGTATATATTGTATCTTAGTAATACTAGCTAGATTTAGAACACATTATAGTTTCTTTAAACTAAGGACGGATTCTTAGCTATATAAGCCTATTTAGGTAGTTATATAGAGTTAAATTCTCCTTATATAGTGTAAGAATACTTTAATATAATATAGCGTTTAATAGTACTCTTAAATAAACTTAGTCTAAGGTATTATAATTAGCAAATTCTATTAGTTATACTTAGTAATATAGAGTTTAATTAGAATCTATACTACTAGTAGCTTACTTAGTAGATTCGGAATAAAATACATTCTAATAAGCAAGCAAAATCAATATACATTAATAATTCTAATATTAATTAGATAATTAATTAGCTACTAGATAAGGCTATAAGATATAGGAATACTAAATGTAGGAATAAAAAACGCACTATAAGCTAAACTAAAACAAGCCAATCTAGTGAGAAAAGATACTAGTCTTAATACTAAGTGTAAGCACTATAGTAAAAACTACTAATTAGATAAATACTAGCTAAAATACCTATATTTATAACTAAATTACTAATCAAAATATCCCACTAATGCAGCTATAGTGCTAGCAGCTATCTAAGAACTAACTTCTATAAAGTTAACGAAAAATACACGCTAAACCCTTAATACTAGAGTAATAGATTATGTTTATAATAATTATTCCAAATTCACTCAGTTTAAACCTAGTAATAAGGAATTGATCACTATAGCTGATAGAAATACTACACTAATTAAGAGTTAGAGAATAGTAACCTTATCTAATTTAGTATTATAGAATCTATTGTACGCTCTAGAGATTACTGGTAATTTACTATTAATACTATAGCCTTTAAATAGTAGTTATAGAATTATTCTAATTCTAGATATACTAATATTTATAAGTAAGATAAGCTAGTAGCTAAGGCTACTAAATACTTAAATTACTATTAGCTAGAGAGCTAATACTTAGTAAATAAAGCATTAAAATATGTATTATATAATAATAAAAATAGTAAGAGATTGGCTAATTTAATATTATACAATAGTAAAAAAGATCTAGTGCTCTAGTACTATAGGCTTAGTTATTTAGATACTAAGTTAGATAAATTACTTAGTAAGTAAGCTAAAGATAGCTTAAAAGAACTTAGCTTAAAGATAGATTTCTATAAAAACTATATTATTAGAAAATATATATAGAAAATTGATAAAATAACCAGCTTGCTAGCTGAATAGGGATTTTAAAAAAAATACACGCTAATATAATTAGACTTATTAGAATTAATAGTCTTTAGG